TGGCACTTTTCGAATGTGCCTCGGGTTCTCAGGAGGTTCCACATCCTGGCCTGGTTATTTCCGTGGCTCGTTACCTCAGAAAGGATGGCAGCTCCCCTACAGTCCTTGCAGCATTCACCATTCTGCACTCTTATTTTTAGCTTCTTTTACAAACCCAGAAAGCAGCACCCCAAAGATCAAGCACTTACTCAGGGACACCAAATGTTGGGGGTTAGGAGAGAGAAGGAAATTGATCATTCTTCACCCAGAGCCAGATGACTCACAAAGTCTGAGGTACTTTACCTACAGGTATGAAAATAAAGGCCCACAAGGTTAAGAAACTTGCCCGAAGTTTCTCTACAGAACTGAGAATTCGAGGCTGTTGAATGTGTGGGGAATTACTCTGTTCCTTAACTATTTTGTGGCTTGAGATGGGCAGGACACTCTTTTCTGGTGCTCTACATGAAAATAATCTTATTTTATTTCTTTTTATTTGTGTGTGTGTGTGTGTGTGTGTGCATGTTCACATGTGTTCAGATGAGTGGTGTGTGTGTGTGTGTGTGTGTGTGTGTGTGTATAACCAGAAGTCAACCTCAGGTGTCATCCCTCAGGCATCAACCACCTTGATTTTGAGACAGAGTTTCTTGTGGGCCTGGAGCTCCCCAAGTAGGCTAGGCTAACTGGCCAGAAAGCTCTAGGGATCTTCCTGTGTCAGCCTCCCAGTCCTGCAATTACAAGTGCATGCCACATGCTTGGGTTTTATACATGCATTCTGAGGACTGAACTCAGGTCCTTATGCTCACACCATAAGCACTTTACCAATTAAGCTCTCTCCCCAGCTCCAACAGTCTGATTTTAATTATCCCCAAGTTTCAATGTCAACAAAAAGGTGTGACAGAGCTTTGAAATGTGACCACCTTTGGTCAAACCAGGAGCTGAGTGTTCAAATAGTAAGCAAGAAGAGCTGTCCTCACTCTTCCCTGGCTGGTCCACATTTTGCTATGGGCAACCAACCCTGGGAAATGTATTTCAGAGCAGCAACCACAAGCAAGCATTTCCCAAGACCAAGGAATCTAGAAGCAAAGTTCCTTGGGGAAATCTGGAAGCCTTGGACTGCAAGGAGAAGCCTGGAGATGTGGTATGAAAACCTGGCGAGATTCCCTGAGGATACCTGTCCTGTAAACATTGGGACAGGTTGTGTTGCTCTCGAGAGAAGAACTGGACCACTTGCTTACACTGAGGTACTGGGAAGATGCTTCCCAGAATCCTGTTAGTACCTCAGAGCCACACTTAGCAAGGCACTTACATAGTGCCCTTTTGTAAGGGACAGAAACAAGCATTCTGTGGTGATATGGTTCAGTACCCTGAGAGAGTGCCTGTATTCTGAGAGTTAATTTAATGGAGCACAGACAACAGCCACCAACATGTACCCAGTGATCTTCATCCTCTTATGCTCTTATCTCCACTGGTTCAGCAATGGCCTTTGTAGTCAGCTGAATACAGAGGAGGTGACATTGTGTGACTTACTATGAAGGATATAGAAGTATTGAGGTCCTATCATCAAGAACCGACCACAATGTCATGGGGACACTCAGCAGCTGCAATGGGAGGTCCCTATGGAGAAATGAAGCTACTGACCAATAGCCAGCCCCACCCAACCTGCCAATCATGTGAGCAAGTCACCTTAGGGGTGAGTCCTCAGGCCCCTGGGAAGCCATCAGCTCACTGCAACTGCACTTATATCTAAGTGTAACCTCATGAGACAGTTCCAAGCCAGAATTCCCCAGCTGAGCTTCTCTCAAATTCCTGACCCATAGAAACCGTAAGTGATGTTAGATGATTACTGCTGTTTTAAGCCACTAAGTGTGGGGGAGATTTGTTACACAGACATAACAACTAGGATATGGAGCTGTGCCATCTTGGGAGGCCTGCCTCTAGGGCCCTGCTCTAGACCTCCACCCTAGTCCCTCTCCTGGGCAGACCTGAACACAGACACCAATTTGGTAGACTGGTGAGCTTTGTCGAAGGCCTGTTACTGAGCAATAGCAAACACACAGAACGGTAGGATCAGTGCTCTAGAGTGGTGAGATGAATATATGAAGGCAATTTAAACAGAAGCAGAGATAAAGCTCCACCCATTTTTCATACCAGGACAAGGCAGAAGAGACAGTGGGTCAGAGCAGTACAGCTGGAAAGGTCTGAGGTGGTTATAGGTTCAGCCTTGATGAGGCTGTCAGAAAAATGCAAAAATACAGGCTGCATGAACTAAAAGCACAGGAGTCAGACAAAGGAGATAAGCTCTCTCTTGGGTTAAACACACCAATGTCAGGATGAATTCGGTTCTGAATCATTCTTTCACAGGCAATGCAGACTTGCTTAAAGAAGATTGCTAGGGACAGGCAGAGCTCTGTTGATGGAGACAAATTAGAAAACGTATAAAGGAGCAAGGCTGTCCAGTCCAAATGGAGAAGGTGGTGAGGAGCAGAGCAACCAAATCACTGATTTTTTTTAAATTTTGCTTTATTTTATGTGTGTGTATTGTGTGCATGTAGGCAAGTGCACCCACATTATGCAATGCCCATAGAAGACAGAAGAAGGCATCAGATGCCCTGGGAACTGGAGTTACAGACTGTTGTTATCTGCCATGTGGGTACTGGAATTCAAACCCAGGTCTTCTGCAAGAACAGCCAGTGCTCTTAACTGCTAATCCATCTTTCCAGCCCCAACAAAATCACTGATTTTAAATATGGAAAGATCTGCCACATAAAGGTTGGGGGGGACATGGACAGTGGGAATGGACCCACTTTGCCCACTGCTGAATCCACACTGAGACAAACACAGAAGCTGCTACATAAACAGAGAGTTTCCCAAATACTAGAACCCACAAGACAATGGGGCATAACCTCTGAAGGTCAAACCCATGGGCAAGTCTGAGCAAAGTGTGCTGCCCAGCCTGTGGGGGAGTGCCGTAGAAAGAGATGACATGGCATTAAATGGGTGATTTTCTGAATCCCTCCAGAGCCCTTCATTGCTCTGAGTGTATTCCGCTGCATAAGTAGACCTTGCTGAGTGATGCCATCACAACACCTCAGCTGATGTGTGAAATACCTGGGGGATCCTGTGAAAGTGAAGATTCTGGGTCAGCAGCCCTGGGGTGAGCCTGAGAGTCTGTTTGTCACACTGGCCTGCACATCTGTGGGCCACACTTTGCAGAGAGAAGGCAGAACTCACTAAGGACAGCAGAATGGATCAGGTGGCCTGGCAAACATGTCATCAGGTGACAGCAAAGTAGTCTAGAAAACTGCTAAGTATTCCAGCTGAGGAGAGATGACCAGCATCAGAAAGACTAGCCAAAGAATGGGACTCCTAAGCTGAATGAAACAAGCGTCTACACACAAGCATCTACACGCCACTCAGGGCTTCTGGACAGTGGCGTCCTTTGATTCTCAGGGTCCAGTCTTCAAAATATCCAAACAATTACGTTATTCTGAGTTGTCTGCATCCTTCCGAGGGTAGTAAGGTATCATAGCAACCTGCCCCCACATCCCCTTCACCACCTTGGTGGTCTTGGAGTCTCAGTTTCTTAGTGTGTACCAAGAAGTCAGCCATCTGGGAGACCGCAGTGCCACAAAGCACTGTATGAAGTAACTCAGCCAATTCCATTCCATTCCTCTCAGAGGAAGCCTGCTAACCTCTGAGGGGCTTGGGTTACCATTTTGTCTGCTTCGCCTTCAGTACTTTGCAACTTACAGCTCTTAACCCAGACCAGCCAGTAGACAGGTAGGAAAGGAGGCAGGTCAAGAATGGTCAACCAATAGAACCGCTTATCCACAGCTCTCCCACAAAAGCTGGGCTTGGCCACCTGAGATGGGAAAACAAGTCTTTCAGAGAATGTGCTGGGCCAGGACCAGTCCTGAGCATGGCTGGCCAGTGAGATACCCACATGATTCCAGCATCAACCTGGGAAAACTGAGGCACATCAATTCTGATCTTTCAATCAAGAAAAAGCTCTCTGTGGTGTGTAGTCTGCAAAAAAAACCTTCTTGCCCAGTGAGTCAGGAGACATCCCCCCCTCTTGCCTGGGGCCACTGTATCTTAGTGAGAAGCATACCAGCTTCTTGTGTGAAGGACTCAAAGGCCACCAAGAGTCTGGATCCCCCACCTCCCACCCCACACATGCACACTCCCAAACATGCTGCAGCTTAACCAGCTGCTTGTGTGGTAGAGACCCAGTGACCTTGGGTTTGAAGTCAGTCCCAAGCTTGATGTGCAACTCCACCACTTTCTGAGCCCCATAGTTTGCACATCTTTTGGGGGGTGAGGTGATGTAGTAACAAAATTATTAAAGAATGTAATTGAGTCACTTAGGGAATTCCTACTTTATTTGAGGTGTCCTTGGTCTTTTCTGGGTTTTGGAGACCCCTCCAGTTTTTTGTCCCTACCACCACCAAGCCTCCTCTCTCCGCCCTCCCTTGTCATCTCGGGTACCCTGCCCCCAAAACTTTCCACCAGCTTCTCTGTGAGGGTTCTTCCAAATCTCTTTCTGAAAGTAGAGGTCCCACCGTCCGCGATCCGTTTCTGTGGGTCTCAGCTGTAGACCTCTGCCAAGCGCTCGGAGAATCCTGGCCCCCCACTCTGGCCGCTGGACCCTGGAGCTCGCGGCGGCTCTGCGGGCTCAGCCCTCCGGGGCCGCTCGTACTGCGGAGCTGCCGACCGCAATGCAGACGCCGGTCCTCCAGCGCTGCCCTAGCCGCCTGCTTCCATCCGCCCTGGAATGCGGCTCAGTGCCGCGACCAGCAACACTCCTCCAACTCCCCGCGGCTTCCCAACGTCGCGCGGTCCCCAACCAGGGTCCAGCGCGCTCCGGACGCCTCTGCCTTCCCCTCCTCCTTCCGGCTGCCCCTCGGTCCCGGGGGTGGGGTTTTCGGGTGTGCTCGCCCCCTCCCGCCCCTCACCCCGCGAATGCCCTCCCCTCCCCCGCCCACCCCTATGTATGTGTCACCACGCTCCATGCCCGCCCACCTACCTCCCCGCGGTGCAGAGGGGGCTCACAGAGCTGAGGACGCGCGTGCACCGCTCAAGGTCCCTCACTCGCTCTCCGTACCCTCTCCTGCTGACATCTGACGTGGGCGCCAAGGGAGCACTTTTCTGTGTCCCTTCCTTCCATCAACCAGGACTCTGCAACCTAGCTAGCCAACTGCTACTGCGGCCACCGCCCGAGGGGACCTGCGGACAGGACGCCGGAGGGAGGAGGGGTGCGCAGGGCCCGGCGCAGAGCATCCTCGCGGCAGCGCAGAGAGACCCGGGGCTCGCAGCCTCCAGGAGTCCCTGGCTGCCTCGCCAGGGGTACAGGACTGAAGTTCTTGGAGGAGGGAGTCCAACTCTTCAAGGTAACTGTCTCCTTCCCTCCAAAGGAGCTCTGTCCCGCGGCGTCTGTGAGCGCTGCTGAGGGTGCGCGCATCAGGGCCGGGGGTGCTGTGCCTCGGTGTCCCCCGCTTGGTATCGGGCTCCCGACATGACCAGCTGCATCAGCACGGGAGTTGAACAAACTCCTGGATGCTGCCCGGACTCAGAGTGAAAGGGAACAAAGTGCGGAGGGATTGAGGAAGACCAGAGCTTTTGCTCCTAACACCGTTTTCAAGACTAGAGGGGTTAGACTAATGAATAGAGAAGCAGCTTTAGAGCCAGGGAAGCGTGGATTCAAATCTCCGCTGTGCCTCTTCGAGCTCCCGCGAGGCTTTTATCTTCCCTGGGGAAGGCCAAGTGGCTGGGGATGCAATAGAATGATGTGGACAGAAGGTCCGGTACACAGAGAGAGACTGAAAGAACCCAGGCGTCCCACTTACTTCCACCACTTGGCTTACTGGCAGGGGTCACTGGACATCCAAAGAGGTGGGGAAGAGCTAGGCGGTGGTGATTGGCAAAACCCCTGATAGGGTTACTGAGCTACCCTCAGGGGAGACCAGAGCCAAGCTCTAAAACAATTATATCCACCAAGAAGGAGGGCATGGGAAGAGATGGGAAGAGGAGGAGAGATCGGGACATGCAACTGTCCGGGCCAGCTTTTTCGTCTCTGGGCTTTTCTACAACCCTTCCAACCCTGGGGCTGGGTGGGAGGCTGTCAGGAGACAACATCCAGCCCAAACTTTTCAGTCATGGTGCTCCCTGCATTCAGGAATTGAGCTTTGGAGGGAGGGAATTCACCAGAGTTTCACTCTTAAGCAACTCAGGTCCCAGGAGTTTTGGTGGATGTGTTAATTCCAGTTCTGTCGGGGTGGCTGCCAGAAGGAGGAAGCTTTTATCTGAGCTGGGTTACTATGATGCTTCTGTCCCTGGGTGGCACAGTGAGTGGGTGTCTGCAACGATTAGACCCTGGAAGACCACCCATCTCATATCTGGGAAAGGGAACCCGGAAAGGTACAGTGACTTTCCAAAGGTGATACTGTGACTTAGGGGCAGAGACAGGATTATGGTCTAGATTTTAGAAGTTACCAGTCTCGCCCTGATTTAAGAGACCAGAAGTCTGAACTGTGATCCTCTCTTCCTTACCCCTGGGCTATCCAAGTTGCCTGTATGCCCTGGGCAAGGCCAGTTAGGAGGCCCTGTGAAGACAGGTGTGTTGATCAGTCAAGGACTCAAGGAGAGTCTGCTCACTGGAGAGGGCAATAGGGAAGAAATCCTCAAGGCTTGATAAGGGTGTGAACAGTGGGGAGAGGTGTTTCTAGCATGAAGGAAAGCCCTCCAGAATGAGCACTCACCCTAGTTTCAAAAGTTTTAGATGAAGGACTTATCTAAAGGAAAAAATCTCTCCTAGAGATGCTGGAATTCCTCGTCTTACTGAATCTAAATATATTTATGTGGAGTTTCTAGTGCCAGGCCAGTTTTGTTCATTCATTGTGCAGTTTCTCCTGAGCACCACCCAGGGGAAGAGGTGGGAAGGCTCTGGCTCTGGGCTCTGTTTTGGCACAGTGCGCACCCAGTAAACAGCTGAGATGGTCCAAGTAAAGGGCCAATGCCCTCCCACCACCACCCAGCAAGTATTCAAGACTGCTTGATGTTATTATTCATTTTAATACTAAGTAGGTTTACTTTTCCTAAAACTTTCTATGAAGACCATACTTAATAATCCTTACACTAGAATTCTTTCTTTAATGTTTGAAAGCCATCCTCACACTTGGGCATTTAACGTGCCCTGAATACCCTCCTCTTATTTACTAACAGTACCCTATCCCTACCTACAAAGGTAGCCCACTTCCCAGCTGGCAAGGGGAAGGGGGAGAGGGGAGAGGGCTCTAACCTCCTGAGATGTTGGGGAAAAGCCACAGGAGTGGTGTGTAGGGCAGATCAGGGTTCTGATCCCAGCCACGTATTGCTACATGAGTTTGTTGAGGTTTTGAGCTTCCTTGAGGCTCAATACCCTATCCCCAAAAGAAGAATGGGGGCCCACAGGAGTAGATGTCTGCAAAGATTTAAAAACATGTGGGTGCCTTTCCAGTCCTCTACAGATATCACAAACCTTAATTCTTCTCCTGTGCTGGCTCCTAGACCACCTTGACATCACAAATCCTAAACTCAGGATAGTAGTAATTTTGAATATTCTTAGAGACTGTGTGTCTCAACTTTTGGTATGGATTTTTTTAATGATACCTTTTAGAACTGGATGCTTTCCCAGCCCCTGTGAGTTGGGCACTAGGGACACCCCAGCTGAGCCCAGGGAAGTCCACAGGGCCAGGCTTGGAGTGTCACTATAAGGCCATGTCTCTCTACAAGATTTGTCCAACTTCAGGCTGTGGTACCAATTCAGTGGAGCCTTTGATAAATAGTAAATAATCTTATAGTACCTCCCACATAGTAAAGACAAGTATTATTTCTGGAAACTTATTTCTGTTATGTGTTTTACAGCCCTCAATGAAAGTATGTGTATTCAACATCTATATGCAAATATATGTACATTTTATATTTTCATGATACATTTCTTATTGCAATTTATGGACCAAAAAAGTTTGGAAGATACCAATTGCAGCAGGGTGTGATAGCACATACTGAAATCTCAGCACTTGGAAGTCTGAAGGCAGTCTTGGCTACGTGATGAGTTGAAGATCAGCCTGAACTATTATTGTGAGAATCTGTGTCTAAAAGGCTAGAGATATAGCTCCAAAACAGCAAGAAAAGAGAAAAGAAAAAACAAGGCAAGACCCCAGTAGCAATGGTACTTCTGTCTGAGAAATTCCCGCCTCATTGGCTCCAGGTCACAGGCACTGCGGTGTCCCTGCTACACCTGGCCAGAGTGGAGGCAGCTAGAGATAAAGACTGGAGGTAGGAATGAAAGACAAGTTCAAGAAAGAGGAATCAGAGACAGAGAGGAAGCAAGACTGGGGAACAGTCCTGCACACAGGCAGATAGAGAGTGCTGCCCTGAGAAAGGGGCGGCAGCGTAGAAGCTCATCTTAGGGAAGGACTGTCTCTCCTGCAGTCAGCATCATGTTCTGGACTCTGATGAGAACTCCATCTCTGCTCCAGTCTTCAGGAAGGCCTCCTCCCAGGAGCACAGTCAATGCAGAGGTTCCTTTACAGATGGGGCTCCCCTTTCCAGACTGATGGGGATGTCTTGGAAGAGTCTGCAGAGAAAGGTGAAGCAGCTAGAGAGAGTACAGGCAGGAGTGCCAGAGGAGGAATTTGTAGGGAAACCGGTAAAACGGTTCCTTTTTTCCAAAAGTTGAATCCAGGGCAAGAACGGAAATGGTTGAGTTTACTTTTAAAAACTCAGAGCCTCCTTGTATGCTGCTCTGTGTGCGTGTGTGCCCGTGTGTGTGTGTGTGTGTGTGTGTGTGTGTGTGTGTGTGTGTGAGAGAGAGAGAGAGAGAGAGAGAGAGAGAGAGAGAGAGTGTGTGTGTGTGTGTGTGTGTGTGTGTGTGTGTACTGGAGGGCGGGCCCTGTGGGCTGGCTGGGGTATGTGAGAGGCGACTTTGCTCCCTCTCAATGGCCTTACAGTGTATCCTAAAGAAGCTTTTTGTTAAACTCATGAATAGGTGAATTCGGGGGTGTGAGGCTGGACATCACAATTTGGCTATTGCTTACCTTTGAGGTTCCGTGTTTTTCCTTTTAAGACAGCCATCCAGAAAAGCAGTCATGTCTCCTGAGGGCAGTCCATTTTATGAGGAGGGAGCTGTCTGTCTCTGTAATTGATTTGAGTTGAGGAGCAAAAGAAGAAAAGAGACAGAGCTAGACAGGTCTTCAGTGCCTGACCTCAGGACAACCCATCCTCAGCCTTCTGATCTCTAGCTGTCCCCAGACCATGAATGCCCAGGGTTTTCAAGGCCTTTAATAATCCTCGTTAAAGAGATCTCCAAGGGGACCCAGAAAAGGGAAGGACTGAGCCCCAGAATAGACTGGTAAGGATCTGTATAGGAATCCAGACTGTCCAGAACATTCTACATTTATCCAGACTATTCCACATTTACAGCTATCATTCATTCATTGATTTCATTCATTCACTGGTATTTGCTACATACCAGGCCTTGTGTCTGGTGTGAATAAGCCATTAGCTCTTCCTAATCTCCACCCCCCGACACACACACATTCTAACAGGGAGAAGATGCTATTATCAACTTGACTCTGATCCTTCATTTCTATAAAGCAGTGGTTCTTAACTGGGGGCTCTTTTGCCCCACCCAACATTGGCCATGTCTAAAGACATTTTTTCTTGCTATGTGAAAGGGGGATGTTACCCACATACAGTTGAGAAAAAAGCCGATAACATTGCCAAACACCTTGTAATATACAGGAGGGCAAGCACGCGTACACACACAAACACACACACACACACACACACACACACACACACACACACAGAGCCCAAAATGTCATTAGTGCTAGGGCTGAGAAACTGCTCCAGACCTGCATTCAGTCCCAGATTCAGGCCATAACCAACTGAATGAGCGAGACAGAAGCAAGAGGGAAGGTTTGGTAAGCAGCCAATGGCAGACAACAAATGGAAAGCAGGGGAAGGCAGTGGCCCAGTAGAAAGAATATGAGCTCTGGAGGCCCAGGTAGAGGCTGAAATCTTAGCTGTATGCTTGTGGGCAATGTGCTTAACTCTCTGAGCCTGTTTGTGCATCTGTGAAATGTTGGGGGGGCAGCAGTTAGGACAGTTTTGAGGGTCTAAGATAATGTAAACAGAGACCCTGGCATAAAAATGTTATTATTATCTTGGAGGCTTTTCAAGGTCCTGCTATGGAAAGCTACAGTATCAGCAGGCATGGACATGTGATCTCCAAGCCAAAGAAGGTTGCTGTTTGGGGCTGGTTGCCATAGTGATGTTTTCTGCTGGGGGTAGGGAAGGAGTGGGCAGTGGCAGCACCTGCCCTACCTATACTTGATTCTCAGCAGGG